TCAATATTAATTTGTCGATAATTGCTGTCCCATAGGCAGCTCATAGTGTGCAATCCTCTTTTTTTTTCGTAAGGTCCGATACGCACGCGGATTCGCCGTTATTCGCCCCGTCCATCATTTCTCGATGCGATTATGCAAACAGCGCTTACGAGTGAATACCGGCCTTCGGCAGTGAGATACTTGCGGCCGTAAGAGATATGTTTCTTCGACGCGGAAGTCGACCTGGCCGCAGGTATTCCGGGGAAGGTGTCTGCGTAGGTGAAGGTCACGTAAGAGAGGTCGCGGGAAACTGGTACTTCCACGGTCGGTTTTACGAAGATGATGAAGCAGCAAGACTTATTTCTTGTTAAAATTCTTCGTGTTAATGCAACGTCCGACATTCGCGAGCTCGTCATCGCGACTGGACCGTCTTCGAGACGTAATTGCAGTTAACGGATATTTAATTAAGACAGAAGAATTCGCGTGTCATTCTTCTCAATCTTTATGTCGAGGAAGTGAACTAAAATATTGAGAACAGATTCTCGATAACGTCAGATCGAGTCGTGCACCGAGAGACAAATGGACAGTGGGGCTTCCAATTAATGTCTTGACCTTACACGCGATTTATTTCTCGTTTACCGTTTTAATCGCGAGACCACACGGGGTTTGCTCCTGGAGACTCTCGGGGAGATCGATTTTCTCGCGGGCACGTGCGACGCGATCTCGATGCGCGTCACGCTTATTCTCACGACCATAATCGCAAAGGGTATTACTTCCGGCCGATACGTCGGCGCCGTCGCGACGGCGCTCCGGCGTCCGGCGACGCCGAGTCAGTGCGTCGCGCGACGTCACTCGTACGTACATCCTCGGCCACGTGCTCCGTCGAATTTCGCTGCCGCATCTCGCTCCACGATCCTCGCGTCGCGTGTGTAATGTGCGCATTAATCAGGATATTTTGAACATCTCTCGCGCGAATGTTCGCCACGACGTACAAACGCGCGGGCCAGAAGACGTAAATATGTTAATTACTTGTGTTAATTATGCACGACTCCTCTTTTCTCGTTCCCTTCTGTTCTCCTCATTCTTGGATTCGATACTTTTTACTCCAAAAATGAACATTTCCCCGAGTCAAGTGATACGATCTTCCAGTCTGAATTATTGAGATATTAATCCTCCTCGTGTAGCCTGATCTCGCTCATTTCCAATACACGGATTTCCGATAGTTTGACTTCCACGTTGCACCAATAGCAAAAACCTTAATGCTGCGGCTCTACTTTTTCCCCGTAAGGCAGTTCGAGAACGATCAGGTAATAGCTGCAATTGTCCGATAATCAACGCTTGTATATTAATTTTTACATCTTTTCCTTTTTATAATATGAATTTTTCTTTCCAATAAAGCCGGTTTCATGTGTATAATGACAGATACTGCCTGTAATCGTCGGAATATCGTTGGTAATTTTGTTTCTGCACATGGTAGCAAGTGTACTGAACTGGTGAGTCATCTTTAGATACAGCAAAGATTTGGTACATTTTGTGCGAGGGGACGGTGCTTTATTATATTTAGCAATGCTTTTATTCCGATTATAAATAATCTTTTCATGTGACGTTTATTACAATGGCTTGCAATTTTCCGAGAATGCGTAATTATTGTGGAATCGTTATTTATTATTAAAATACATACGTCGGTTGCACATATGTAACATAGTCCATAATGTTGGCAGTTTAATTTCAGCGAGGCTTAGCGTCGACGGGTTCAATTTAATGTCGTGAGATTTAATTTAGCGCTGACGGATTTAATTTAGCGTTTCATTCACTAGGGTGACTAGGGCATTCGCGTTAAATTTAGACCTCGTGAACGATGTGACGTGAAGTTCGGCGTATCGGTACGTTGAACCCGCGCTAGTGATAAGAACGAGTTGTGGGAAGGCTTTTTCTCTTTTTCACCAACCAGAAGCGATATTTCCAAGAGGGAATCTTCTTCGTGGCGCAAAGAAACCATTAGCTATCCTGTAATGGAGGTATTCAGCGGGTCAGCTTTGACCCCGTAAGCCGAGGCCGGTACCGGTATTCTTCGACGCTTGATTTACCCACGGAGATAGGTCACGCGACAGTATTCTCCGTTTTTTTTCCCCGCAGGCAATATAAATTCTCCAGCGTATTCGCGCCCCAGCTTCCATCAGATCCAAGTTTTTCTCGGAGAAGCTGCTTGCATTGCTATAACGTAGATTGTATTTCTCTCTTTCATTTTAAAAACGAAAGGATTCCTCAAAGTTAAAGATACATCTAGTTTATCGTGGCGATCTGAGGTTGTTGCGCTTTGCTATAATAGTACGCGTAAACTGAGAAATAAGAGACTAATTTATTTTGTCGCGTATGAAAATATAATATAGAAGCTGGAGTGCCATATCACGGATATGTAAATTTTAAATTTAATGCCTTTTCCGTGATTTATGCCATCGTTTAATATCGAAAGCTGTAGTTTGAATCAGTTGTTATTCACGATGTTACTTAAGAGGCAACCGTGAGTTATAAACTGCAACTCGTTAGTCTTTTCAAGGTTCTGATCAGTAACATATTTTAGTGCTGATATAAAACATGAAAGAACTACTAATGTAATAGCTTAACATCATTCATAAATGTTGATTTATTAGAATGAGAAATTATAGGCTCCGTATCCGTACTTCCTATGATTGCGAAAGTTCCATTGTTCATTTAACCGGAAAAATTAACGTGTATGTATGTGGAAAAGCAAAGTGATCTGCGAGAGCGATAGTTTCCTCTCGTTTGCATACTCGATTAATTCTGCCCTGCAGAAGGATGCGCCGATATATTGGATTGCCTCAAAGGTCGTGGTATAAATTAACAAACGATTGCAGCCGCCTGCGCATATACATAACATGGCGAAGGAAACGGAATATGTGAACGCTGGCAGGTTGGAATTATAAACGCGGGAAACGCGAAGCAAGTCGCGGCAAAGAGTCAAGGAGATGTCAAAGTTGAAGTCGGAGGGGGACGCGAAAAAATACGCTCAGCAACGAGCGCAGGCTCCTCGAACTTACGAGCGTTGCCTTTGAAACTCGACGATGGTATTTTTTACGTTTCAAGTTTTTTCACTTTTATGAATTGCAGTTTGAGATTATGCAATCTCCATAATGAAACCGCGGCTGTCAGTCAAGCGCTGTGGAGGTATTAAAAAATCTGAAGACTCCTGCAAAACGCAAACGGAAATAATACATCGAGGATATTCTTTCCGTCTCGAAGATCTGAAGCACGAATTGTACGAAAAATTTCAACAAATTTTTAAACGCTCAATAAATATTTTACACATTTGGAAAATTCTCTATAGAAAAATAGGGCGAAATAGAAGCTATACATATAATAGAATAATTGTACATTATTTTACATACGTTTTATTTACATCTTATTCTTTCTAATTCTTTCTAATTCCATTTTATAGCACAATACTAATTTTTTTAAACTCTACATAGATTATAAATTATAATCGAAGAATTTTCCAACCTTGAAAAATAATTTGCCAATTATGTATCTAATATATTAATTGGCAGTATGTGAAGTGATAATGCGCCATGTATATATTTCGACAGACAATTAAGGTTCCTCGTTGACTTAATTAATGCTTAATTATAGTGAAGTTAACTCACCTGTTACGTGCGAAACGGCCGATTCCCGTAGTTATTACGGCAAACGTTGTGGAACGACTGGCCAGCAGTTCGTAACTTCCGTTTGATAAATGTACTTCCCCCTAAATTTCGGATGCATCAATTGCGTGTAACGGCAGTATCAAACCGCCACGTAACACGATACAAATAAAACGTTCTACCGTTACATCCTAAAGTTGTCATTAAAATTTTCATCGCGTTATTGACTACGAACTCGATAGAGGACGAACTTGTTAGCGAAACTCAAAGATCTCTCTGTTTGGAATTGAACGTACGAAAGATCGAATTTATTTCGCGATAGTGTTCACGCACGAGCGCTGATGATTACATCGCTGTAAACACGGTGCGTGCCTTTTACGTCTCGTTTCATAACTTTCAGCGCACTTTAAACGCCTCAGTGCTCCGTTACCTCGGCGCGTTATTATACGATGAGTTTACGACCTGCTACAACCGGCAGCTGTCAGCCACACATTACGTATCCATTTGAAGAGATCAACGATGCGTCGCGATCAATGGATCTCCCGATCACTATCGATTGATTTCGCAAAACATTAGTCGAATGTTATTATTTAATATGTGCTCGATGCTTTATCTCCGTAGTTTGCTGAAGCGCCATTTCAATTCTATTCCGGCGAATATAATGAATGTAACTATCCGACCAATTTCCATCGCGCTTCGAACCTTATGATGCTCCAACAACAAAAATAACGAAAGAATAAACATTCACGCATCCTATCGAAAGTGGCTCTCCGCGGAATCGAAGAAATTGCATTCCATCGGAGAGAGATGCGCCCCGGGGGCGAGTCAGAAATTGCTCGATCAGTGTTTGCCCTCCTTTTCCGGCAGGCATTCGCACATTTTACAGACGTACGGCGCCTCGATATCCCCGTGTTCGACTCAATTAACTCTCCCGGCAAATTGTCTGAAATTGAATTTTCGTTCCATCACCAGCATTTACCAGCTACAATCAAAGTTAGGATTGGTGAAAGTGCTCCCGGTATGTTTGTATTCCACGATGAAACTTGATGCTTTTCGATATGCAATCCGGATATTATCGGTTCTTATTTAATCGTGAAACCGTCTTCTCGTTAATCAACTTATCTAAAGGATATACAGGATGTTTTAGATTTTCACTTACAGTTAGTATTATTAATTTATACTGTTCACTGAATTCAATCATTTGTTTTAAACACATATTCAGAAGGTTAATTAAAGGTTCGAAAGATTATAGTAAAATTATTAAGATTACCATGTGAAATTTATATAATTCTAAATAATTAGGGGTTTTACGATATGATAAGGTTTACAGTGTGTCAAGAAGGTAATAAAGAGAATATACTGTTCCCATAAAAACACGTTTATTTAAGAGCTTGTACGTATACATAGGATTGTAACATCGAAATAAGTAATTTAATTTTTTATTTAGAAAATGGTATATAAAAGTTCAGTTACCGAACGGACGGAGTTCGATGAGGGATGTACGCTTATAAAAAATTATGCGTGGCATAAGAGTAATTATAATAAATAGAACATGAAAACCATTACGGTCAATCGACTCATAGCTTCAAGGTAACATAGCAGGAATCGATAACAGCGTCGTATCTATAACAGTACTTCACTAATAATAAACTGGTGACGAAAACATGTTATAAGGTGATTTATCACTTGGTTGAGTGTCGTCGTGGTATTTGTAATATGGTGGAGTAGCATATATTATTTTCTCTTCCGGCGGGTAACTGTCTAAAAAAACTTGCGGTAACAGCAACTTTGGATGTCTAGGAGCAGTGGCATTTGTGTAAAATACATAGTCAGGGATTTTCATTGGCTGCTGGTGGATACTATGGTCTGCATTAAACTTCATCTTATCGAAATTGATGTGGAAATCTTTGTTGTATAAATTTTTGTTCGGATCATAATTTGAGAACGACCTGTCCATTGTGTCGGAATATGGCGCACTGACGATCTCACTGGTTCTCGACGACTCGTCGTTATTTCTATATTCATTTTCCACAAAGGTAATGGGAGGTTGTCCGGTTAGCGCCAAAGTAGGCGTTTCGGCACAATGGTAAATTTTCTGCTTTTTAGGCAAACTGGAAGGAAAGAATAATGCGACCGGCCTGACATCGTATTTTGGTTCATCCGTATTGACTATGTCACCTTTATCTGCGCTTCTCTGTAACAAACGTGTAATGGGTTTTATTAATTGTTTGTAAAAAATTTTTCCCCCTTTTCTCTAAGAATATCATTTAAAGTCTTTTCTCGTAGACGCGGTATTTATATATTTCACATTACCGAAAAGAATATTTTTCAAACATTCTGCAAAACATTCACGATGTCCGAAAAATGTTTCATTTTCAATAGTAAAGTTGTACATAACGCATATTATTACACGAAAAATTTCTATTGTCTTACTAATAATTAATTAAATTTTTATAAGTCGAATAAAAATTTAAAAACTCTTTAAATAAAACAAATTATGTTGTTAGAATCTTTACCTGCATAGGTTTATTGTCAAATTCTTGGTGTACAGCCCGCATATTCTCATGGTTAAAATATTGTGGTTCGTGGTGGTCAGGGCGATATTCCGTATGGTACTCCGGCCAAACACCTCTCGTGTTGTGTGCCAAATAATGACGGAAATCTGGCCAAGAATCTCTTTCAGCTGATCGGTATTTACTATTATCACGAGTATCGTCCGATGCCGGCATTATTTCATAAGGTTCATTATTAACAGGGTCGCTGCTTGGCAGAGTTACAAAGAGTACACGGTCGTTTAAACTGTCTGGTGTAGGAAGTTGCGTGTTGAGGTGTGGATTTAGTTGAGAAAGCATCTTCTGCATGAAATTTTTATACGGTTTATCGGATTGAAGGTATGATTCACGATAACTGGAATGTATGTTTTCTGGATATTCAGAATGCATGTTTTCTGGATATTCAGAATGTATATTTTCTGAATATTCAGAATGCATGTTTTCTGGATAAAGGCCGAATAAACGTGGCTCCGTTACGTGGTCATAATTGATCTGACGGTTCTCCACGTGCTTATCTGTAATTGAGCAAGTTTCATTGAAAGCGAATTGTATTATATCGATACATTGATTTACGTTCGTATTTTGTAACTCGCGTAAGTTGGAGTTACGCGTCTTTCGAAATAGGTGTTAGGTTACTATTTCAAGATTTTTATTTTTGTTGTTTAGAATATTTACCATTAGTATCGGTAGTCTCGTGCTCTGGAAGTAACGAGTCGATGGCTGTAGGAGGCTTGGCGTCGGTTAAGGTCGACTTCGCGGCCACATCATTGTCATGCGCAACGATGTCAGGTTTACTGGATTCGGAACTTGTAACGATTTCAAGTTTATTGGGTTCGTCACTTGTAGGAACCGATCTACGCGATCTCTCGCGCCGGTTGTGTACTATCTGGAAAAATAGCATTCTTAAGAAACCTCCAGCAATAGAGAGGATCGGTTCGTGTACAAAAACGTGATAAATATCAACGTTTGCGTTATAATCAACTCAAAGAAAAGCTGTTTGTCAATAATATGGTGGCATACGTACAGCCACCGTATCAGTATCAGATAAAAAGTGATAGCAATATACATGAAATATTTCGAAGCTAAATTAATAAAAAAGATATTATTTCATCAGATCAAGTAATAGAATGAGCATGTACCGTCGTGGGGTGATGAGGTATACCGAGGAACACTGAGGGCCGCACATATCCATGACCCCCTATCTTTGCGTAATGCGGCCTGAGTAAATAATGGTGTGGTTGACGTGGGTAGCTTACCATATGTGTACGGGCATTGTCTTGATACGAGTCATAGGGATGATACGTCTGACCTCGCGAAAGATATTGCGTCCATTCGTGGTTCGGAATTTGCGCCCTGCGATATTGTTCAGCCGGAAACTGATACTGCGGTATTGAAGGCTGATATTGCACGTAGTGTGGAGTGCTACTGTATTGATAGCCGTGTTGATAACCGGGTTGAACGAGGACGTCAGCAAGTACGACACTTGCTAACGAGATTGTCAACGCTAGGAACTGAAATGATTAAGAAAACTTTATGCTGGTACTTAGTTCTCGAAGAAACACTCGACGCGGTAGAAATTTGTTTCCTAAATTTATTTATTGAACAATTTGAAATTGCCGAGAAAGAGAGAGATTACATATTTATCGATTTACCATGGAATTATTTTTCAATGTGAACATTGAATTAGAGAAGACGTTAAATACAAAGACAAATGTTTTAGCGTGTATTAATTTCTACAAAATTTATACTTAACGCTGATGACACATCGTTTAATTATTGAAAAGTTTTTCCAGAAGCTAAAGACCCGTAAAAATATTAAGTAAAATGTAAAATATATATCGGAGAAGTTTACTCACTAATTCTCGATACATTGTGGTTTCTTGCCGCTCTTGCTGCAGTTCGCTCGAGACTAACGCGATTCCTCGGTGCCACTAAGCGTAAATAACCCATAGAATCGCTGACGCTACAAATTTTGCATATTCCTTGATTTCGCCAGTTTGCACATTGTGACAAACCGCCTCGTGGCAAACATGCGGACGTCATCAAATCTTTTAAAGGAAGCACATTTTTTCATATATGCATTCTGAATATCGTTGATGAAAATTGCTAATTGTAAAAAAAAAGTATACGCGGGCTTGCGTTATGTCGTAAATAGCTTGACTTCACCTAACAGCCAGCTCGCAAAAGAACTGTAACGATCGTCACGATTCGTGTGGACGCGATTCGACTCGCGCGCGGACTTCCGTTTGCTGTAAAACGCACGATTACGAAACCTAGTAATGATATGCACGTATGGAATGCACGAAATAGCACTTCCTCAAGAGTTCGTTGCACTTCGGGGCCAGCGCACCCGCAGACGTGCCCTGATTATCGCGTAAGTGGGTGGCTGGATGCCGAGACGTTGATCTAGACTTCTCTCTTGCTGCGGGCCACTCTGAATATAAATATCACTAAGCAGCCTTTCGTCTGCGTTTTCATCGTTATCTCGCGTTATAGCACGCGAGGCTTGAAACCGGGAGGTAACATTCCTGAAGCGATTTCATAATTCCCAGATATTACATACTAATATCTACTAGCGATACGGTAACATCGTGTTACATTACTCGTAATATCCGTGGCAATTTCAATATTTCTCAGAAGGAAAAGTCATTTTCGTAATACGTATTGCGTGGGGTCGAACGGGGCTATATTTCGCTTAGTTAGAGAAAAATTCGAATAAAAAATTTTCAAGACGAAAAGCTAAGAAGCTCCATGGTGCCAAAAGCCCTTCCCTCTACTTTGGAAAATTTAAATGCCCCTTTTTATCTTGAACATTTTTTTATCCAAATTTTTCTTTAACTGCGCGGGGAAAATTTTCTCTTAGAATTTAAACCTACCTGAAAATCATAGCAGTCGTGGAGCAACATGGCATTAAAAAAATGTATAACATTTTTCTGATTAATAAATCTAAAAGAAAATTTTCTCCATATGAGCGAAATAGTCGCGCTCTATCCTATATGCGTCAAGTTTCTATAGTTCGTTAAAAATTAAAAGTTATCGTTTCTCAATTTAATGTCGAATTTTCATTCGAATTCTCGTGTTAATATGATTCTCCCAAGTAGCGAAAATTACATGTTTTGCCACACACTGATCATATCGGCTCAAAATTGTAAACGTTATTACGAATTTTTCAATCGTCTTTGTATCTCCACAAATCTATTGTAATCCGAAATCTCGCAAATACTTTGCAGACACTGGAACATACATTTTTTAAATTATAAGATGATTCTATAAAAATTCAAACTTTCAACATTAAAATTTTTCAATGACTTATCCTTCGGCAGAAATTTTTTGCAAAGTGTATCTCAGTGGCCAGTAACATCGTGCGATTAGAGGTGCGCTTTCGATTTCGAGACGAGAACGAGACTTTTCTCGTCTCGTGCGCATCTCTACACAGTGCGATACATGAAGATGCGAGCCAATACGCCAACCATATTTATGTCTTCTAATGAAATGTCCAGGTTGCGTATTCGGTACGTGATGCCGGCGGCGCACCTGACGCTGCGCGAGGAGGACGTGGTGCGACTGACTTTGGAGTTCCTTCACAGTCGCGACCTTCACATCTCGCAGCTCTCGCTCGAGCGTGAGACCGGCGTAATAAACGGCCAGTACAGCGACGACGTTCTCTTCCTGCGCCAGCTGATCCTCGACGGACAATGGGACGACGTGCTCGAGTTCATTCAGCCGCTAGAAGCGCTGTCGGATTTCGATATGAGGAGATTTACGTACTCGATCCTGCGACACAAGTATGTCGAGCTGCTGTGCATTAAGTCCGAGGCGAACGTTATCGCCACCGGGACGAACGGCAGCGTTGACAACGCCGTGGAGGAGGTTGTCAAGGTGTTGAGCGACCTCGAGAAAGTCGCACCATCCAAAGAGGAATACAGCAGCCTGTGTCTGTTGCTTACTCTGCCGCGGCTGACGGATCACCTGCAGTACAAGGACTGGAATCCCAGTAACGCGAGGGTGCAATGTTTCCGCGAGGTTCACCCTTTAGTAGAGAAGTTCCTGCCGGGCGACAGAAAGAGCGCTGATCCCGCGCATCCGACTACCTCAGCGAAAAACGATCGGCTTATTCAGCTCGTCATCAAGGGCATCCTGTACGAATCCTGCGTTCATTATTGCCAAGCGAAAGCTACCGGGTCGAAAGAGAGCGAACAGGTAATTTTTGTTTTATTTCACGAAAGAATAAAATTTGCCAAGATTATATCAAAATTAATATTGCTTTTGTTTTTTTATGTATAATTACTTGATAAAATTTTAGATTATTTATTCATGTCATACATTTATTTTTACTTTTTATAGTATTCATTTTAGTATACAATTCAGTATCGTTTTGTTCAGGTGTTTTATTCCGTGCGTTTCTTATGTTATAGGTAGAGATGAGTTTTTCGAGGCTACTAGATGGATCCGTGGGCTTCAGCGATTCGGACTTGAGTTTGCTCTCATGGCTTCAAAGTATACCCCCCGAGACGTTCGCCGTACCCTTCGCACAAAGAACCCTGAACGTCGACGTGGAGCGCTTGGAAAGGCCCTCCTTGGAGACCTCGTGGACGGAGCACATGCTGATAACGCCGATCAAGCCGAAGACTTTCCCGCACAGCGCCATGCCGTTCACCAGGCCGAGATCCGCTGCGGACATGATGTCTCGTAGCTTAGTGCCGGCACTGGAGGCTGGTCTTGGACCCAGAAGTCCCAAGAACACATCCATCCCGTCGGCGGCGCTTATGGCGCTGTCCGTCGGCGACGTAAATCCGATGTCCAGGTCATCATTCGCTAGCTTCCATTTGACCGGTTCCAAGAACAACAAGTTGATGAACACTAGCGTCGACAGGCTCTTCGAAAACGAGGGTGATGTCTTCCTTAGCTCAAATTACGCCGAGTTTCAACAGTTACCCTCGATACAGGAGACTACAATGAATGCTCAACCTAAGGCTCCGCCGCGGACTCGAGGACACTCCAAAAGCCCCGACGGTAAATTACTAAGTATTATATCTAGAAGTTTCTCATTTATTTCGCTCTATGCACAGTGAAATATATAAAACACTTGACTGAAAGGACGATTAGACTTTTAATCCATATTTCATAGTACATATTGCATAACAGTTCAATTATCTTTAGTTACTTTACTTAGCTTTGATTGATTTATTCTTTTCACGATTGACGGGTCAATTAAAGTAATTCTACATATAAGATGAAAGCTTGTAAATTATCTTGGAAATTACTCGTAATTTTTATAGGCGTGGAAGTGGACCCTTCAGCGACATCCACGCCAGAACGCAGAGCGGCTGGAAGGGAATCGCCGGCGCCTTCGACCGCCAGGAGTTCCAGAAGGGACTCCTTGACGGAGAAGCCCACGGGAGTCGCAGCCAAAATTACAGACCCATCCGTGATACCGATTAGAGCGATGGCTCCTAGCGACAACTTCGAACAAAGTTACAACGGTGGCCTATTTAAAGAATACCAGAAACAGAAGCAGAGACTGCAGGAGACCATCCAACTGAAGGAGAGGGAGAGGGAGGAGTTAGTCAGGCAGCTAACTGCGCCGTTACCCATGCAATTAGCAGTAGCAGATAACAGGCTCCAGGCAGAAGGGTGAGTAATTTTTTTCAAGATTTTATTTAAAAAGCACCTACGACGAAGAGTCGCAAAGGTATTTACAATTTTCAAATTGCCAGAAAGGTACATGTTTTTGCATATCGAGACATAAAAAGAATGCACACAGTTCAAGAAATACGATATTTTTTAAGTAGCATTGTCGCTCATAAGTTAATGTACTGCCAGTTATTGCCTGTGTCGATCCTGTTGCATCGAATGTACACTCGATGAAAAGTTGAAGCCCGTTGCATTCTCCAACAGATGGCGATAGCGAAATGCCTTTGTCGCGTCTATTATGGTAAAACATGTGCCGAGAATAGCAGCTTAGATTTAGACTCCGATGAAGCGCTGATTAAAATAGATTATTACCCTCCTGAGAGGATCAGTGGAAAGAGACGGATTATTTTGACTATTTCGACTATCTCTACACGAGTTGAAAGTCGTTTAAGACGTTCTTAAATAGATGAGTCTTCGTATAAAAATTCCTGAAATCAGTCGTTCCAAAATTTTATTATATTTTAATGCAATATCTATTTAATCATTTAATACTATGATAATAAATTTATTAAATTGTTTTACCACCAGTAATATTTTAAAACAGATTTAGTAAATTTATATTAAAAATGTTGCTCAGAGGATTCTTTAATACATAAACATTTTAACTTCTTTTTCAATTAAAAGATTTAAACGCGTCGTGAGAAATCGGTCTATTCATACGCAACTCTCGTGTAATAAAATTGACGTCAATGAAAATTCAAAGTTCCGATAAATCCATTTTTTGTCGTTATATACAACGATCGTGTCTCAGGAAATAATTTTAATTCGTCTTTTGTCTGTTTTTTTCGTTGTATTCAACGATCGATCTCAGGAAGTAATTTTAATGCGTGTCCATATACTGTTTCGCAATTAACTCTGCGAGAAAGCGAACGTTGCTCGGCGATCGAAATCAGAATTCGATCACGGTTCATTGGCATCGACCGCTGACATCGTGCTCGAACCGGATACCGGATGCGTATATACAGCAAAACGGTGACCGTACGATTGCGCCGTCCTGCCCTATCGATGATTCATGCGCATACCTCCGTATTTACGACCGCATTGTGTCATTCATACGCGTGACTACATCCTGCAAAGTGTGTACCAACACGTAAACTATGTACATCTATACTTATTCCGAATTTCCGAAAATACGTCACATTACTTACGTAAAACGAAAACTTAGTATTCAATTATTATCGGACTTTTCTCAACTTAAAATCAACAATGCTGTGATGCAAAGTTTAAAAATAGAATATTAGCGCAGAGACAGAATTAAAATATTATTATAGTTATCGTATATCTTCACTTTACGAAGCTGTATCCGGCTTAGGAAGACTAGCTTAAAATATGTTAGTACATTACGGAATGTTGTCCGAGTAATAATTATTTCGTCATGTGCGATTGAATAGTATTTTCATTGGTAGGTACGTACGTTTTCACGTACGTGCTAATGAGACTGACTAGCGCCGCAGTCGCGTCAACGCTTTCGCGGAATGAATCGAGGAATTAACTCGGTCCGAAGGAGCTTCGAGTGTCTGGCAGTTCGTTAGTGGCGAAATACGGCGTATTTAGACGGCGGCATTTCGCGGTCGACGAGGCCGAACGAGAGCCCTTGATCCTTCTGCGAGTTCAACAAACGTGGTTATTCTTGATGATTCGCTAGATTTATCAGACGGCGCGTTCTGTTTTTGTTAACGACATATAAAGCTCCCTTTGAAACACCTCTGCATTTAAAGACTTCTGTCTTCTTTCAAAACAGTGATACAGCTGGAAAGTAATCTTTACTCTTATGCAAACGTTCATGGAATTATTTCGGATTATTCTGCGAATCCGGAAACGCGGAAAACGGAGAGATTCTCGTTTAATTTAAAAAAAAACATATCTTAGATAACAAAAAAAGTTGAAAGTGAATCTTCAACATTAGAACCACTTCTGGAAAAAATTAAATTAATTAATTAAATATACAAATTTGGAAAGATCTAAAACAGATGTGAAATGAATCGATAAAGTTTTCAAGTACTCGAATAAAACATGTAATGTACTTTTTTTACAATGTTTTTCCAGAATTTTATGTAACGTAATTTCCAGAAAATATTTTTGTGAAAGGACTAAAGTCTCGGAAGTGTACCATAAAATTTAAATCTGCACGCACGTAGCACTTACCGGTCTTTCTAATAATTTCCTTTCCATTAATTATACCGGCGTTGCCGAGAATGTCGCGCGGACAAGTAACGCGTTTGCCGTCGATCACGTAAATGTAACGCATCGAATTTCCTTGGGCTTCGACTCAGTGGCACGTCGCGCCGATGCCAAAGATGGGCCTTCGGGATCCTCTTGACACCGCGGACTCGGCGCTGCGCTCGTCCGTCGTAACGCAGCCACCTACTTGCGCGAATACGGCGAGATGCGGCGCGTAATTAGAACGCGCGAGCGCTCGTCATTGGTAACAAACGAGGCTTTGTTGGAACATCATCGGAATACGAAGTAATCGCGAGGCAGTCCCCTCTCTTTCTCTCCTTCGGATTAAAAGCGCCTGGTTAGCATTGAACACTCCAGGTGTTGTGGTCATGTGGTTACGGACGAATAGAAAAAAAAAGATCCTTGAATAATCGCTACACACCGAGTAGTTTATGTATTGTGTGAATTTTTGTGCGGTCGAAAAATCAATTATGCAATTACATAATCGAGTTACCGAGCGCGATTGTATAATTGTATAATTAATTTCTTTTGTAATTGCCTGCACTTACGTAACAAGTACACAATTATCGAAACGTATACAACTTTATTACAGTTTACAATTACCAAGTTATTATCTTATACCTGTCTATATTAGAAGTAACAGAAGATGCAATAAAGTTTGAATAACGAGACAATCATGTTTCGATGACGAAAATTAATGATAATTATAAATAGATGAACTAAATTTTAATTCAGTACGGGGAGGGGTGTTATTGTAATGAATGCTAAGTATAGCGTTTAAAATAATTTATCAAATCGTTCAGCGATTTTATAACACGTGAATTGACTGACGAAAATGATTCCCACCTAATGAAAAACCTGTGTTACATGTCCGGTACTTAACGGCGCGCAGGACAGGTTGGAAAAAGACGGTATATGGATTCGCACTTAGTAATTTTAATTGGCTACCATCAGTGCCAGGTTTTTAATTGATTTATAAATAGATCATTAATGATTATACCTACTTAATGATTACCACGAAAAGTAGTCGACTCTTTTCCAAAACTCATTTATACAAAAGTCTTACTCCACTTAATTTGATAGCAGCGTGAGCCTTTCTTAGCATACGTTGGGAATATGTTCGCCAAGCCTTTTTCGAAGACAGGAGCACAGATAGTACATGATAATTGCGAATATGTACGCGCGGTGGAGCAACAGCGTTGCTACAAATTTCATATCCCATAAGCGCGATACGTAGCCACGTGCCGAAACGGAGTGAGCCGTGAAAGTTTGTTTAATCGGGGGCAAACGCAGGATTGTAAGGCAGGAAGAAACGCGAAAAAAACGTCGAGTATTGTTTAGTGCGTTGATTCGGTTCGAAATATTGTATTTCGCGCCGGCGATGTAAAGGCGCGCGGGCGCGATTTAAGAAAGCAGAACGGAGAATTCCTTTGCCGGCGAGCAGGCCTCGTGAGCGCCGCTTAGAAAATTCATAGGGACTCGCGTTCGTTGCTGATGTAAGGCAGAAAGTGTGGCGATACGTTGTGAAATTGAGTATAACTCGCGTGTATCATTTTAACCGCGCGAGATAACTGTGAGGCGCGCTTATGGCTTCTGTTTCTCGAAGCGGGACATCTGCCAGATGTTCCTCGCGCGATTCTTCCGAAAGCGATTGTTCGCGCGCTCGATGTTCTCTCGCTCGAAAATTATTACCCAGTTGAAAGTAATAGCTCGATCAAAAAATCCTACTGACACTCATTTCGCATCTCCCCTTCTCCGTTTATGTGCTCTTAAAATTTTTGAATAACGTCGAATCGTAACGAAAGCCACATCTGGAGACTTCAAATCTCCTACTAGTTTATCAGGATCTTCGGGTCCACGTTGATCAGGCAAATGACAATCGGGGATGTGCACGAATCAGAACTTTCCGCGTGAGTTTATTATCTAACACTTCCCACGCGGATTTCTGTTGGGCTAATCGTTCTCGACACTCCCCCTTAACTTTCTATTTATCCAAATGCAAGAAAGAGAGCGAGATGTCGTCACGCTATTTACTTCGTTAAAAGAGCAGACCGTGTTTTCCCACCTTATTCTATGTGTCTCTACATTTGCATTCGCGCTCCCCGGGAGCCCGCGAAGCTTTCTACATCTCTCTCGTGAATCGCGCTCGCGGTTGCGCGCACAGCGACAGCTGATCGCCGCGGATGCACCGCGCCGCGCCGCGCCGCGCCGCGCCGCGCGTGCAGTCGGCCGGAGGGAATCAAAGCAGCCTCTGATAGGTTCGCGATACGCTTTGTTATTACGAGCGGAGTCGGAGCCTCCGGCAGGCTTGAAGCTCAGTCGTGCCGCTAATGCCGCTGCCAGGCGAGTCGCCACCACCGTCACCGCCACCGCCGCCGCCGCCGCCGCCGCTCTTGCTCCCTCGCGAGATACTCCACGTCGGGCCTCCTCAGCCTCCTGGCCGGCAGTATCGGTCTGGTACCGCCCGCAGCTGCAACCGCACGACAGCAAACGACATACCGTTTATTCGCGGCCGTTCTCGCAACGTCAGTCTTAGGCTGCGAGACGAGACGAGCGAATTCCGCGGCTTCTTGGGCGGTCAAGTCGGCATCGGGCCCTCGCCCCCTTTTTTTCGCGTTTCGGAGCCGCGTCGGCCGTCGGGGGACCATCGACCCTCGGGCTCTCGTCGAGCTCGTCGAGGAACGAAAATCGAAATCGTCCGCGCGAAAAGAGGACCCCCTCCCACCCCCACCCCTGTGTACGTTGCGATGAAGGCGTGAAGACGCGCCAGGACTTGACGGCGAGGAACGTGCAGGAAGCATGATTTATCACAAACCGACGACGCCGCGATTCCGCATCGCCGAGCGGGTCTGCGCGCAGCCTCCTAACAATCGGCCGACTTACAGTAAACAGAACAGTCACAGCAGCACGTGCAGCCTCCGGAGCGTCAGTTCCACGCCGCCGTGTATAAGTCGGTAAATATTACTCGATCGGCTGCCCGGTGACATTTGCGCCGCAGTATCATTTATTCAGAGCATTCCCGACTCGAAAGATGCCAGAATTTCAATATTTTTAAATAGATATTCTTAAGATTTTTTAATTCTCTTTTCCTGACGGTTTCGCGGATCTTTTAACAAGGCGCAAAGATTCAGTGAACATTCAATGTTGCGCGGATAGTTTTTAAAAAATCCATTGTACCTGAACAACATTTTCAGGATAAATTTTAAACGAAAATTCTCTCCGTGTAGGCATTTTAGGGCATTAGTGGGTGTTACTTGGCCTTGCTGGGGCATTATAAAGAATGTAAAAAGATGAAACGAAACGAAATGAAATAATAAGATAAAGTGACACCCACTGGGCATTAGCAGGCATTGGTGTACATGATTTCGGTCAGCGGTTTACCCCTCGGTTAATTGGTTCCCATAATTTCCGCAAAATGGATTGAAACGCGCTCGCTGTATTGTACACGACTTATTGTGTATAACTTATAAGCCATGCTCGGCAAAGGACGCGACTTGCCGAGCTCGTGGAGTTGCGCCGGGAGCTCGTGTCGCATCGCAGAACGTTACTTCGATTGAGAACGCAGCACGCGCCGTGATGCAGCGCGATTTTGTATAACGGTAACGAAAACTGAGCCGTCGCGCGTGATGATCGACTGGCGAGATTGTTTCAGTGATTTAGAGAATGTCGGATTGTAAATCATCTGTACGTATCAAACCGTTACGTTGAAAAAAAAACTGACAGCCCCTTTACGACCAAGTGCCACCGTGAAACTGGTTCACTTTGGAGCGAACGATCGCGATCGATTCGCGGTTGGTAAACGGGAGAATTGAAATGCTCTCGAAATTTTTGCACACGTCAAGCGTCGCGAATTGCTACATGTTGTTCGTGCACACCGCGCCACTGGAGATTGCACTTGAGATGATACTTAATCCGTTGTTCATGCCTCGCTGGAAGGCCCGCGAGTTCCAAGTTCGCGGAGGTCAAGATGGCCCAACGTTTTCCCGCGTTGGGACTCGGGGGGTGACAACGAGTCCCCGATAAATCATGTCTCGCCTGAGTAATGGCTCGGGTTGAGAGGTCTCGCGACTTCTCAGACTTCTTCATTTCTGTTTCTGCACGAAAATCGCGGCCGCGGCTAATTCCCAGGCCTCTCCTTTAAGAAGCGGGAAAGAATATTGCAAGTTATCCGCGGTGATTTAACGATTCGGCAGAGAAAATCTCTATCTGAGAAGCAGAAACGAATACATTACTTGCGACGTATGTTCTAAGAACTTATTGTGATGTTATAGACGATATTTAATCTCTTTTTAAACAAGAACTTTCGAATATAATATAATCTATACTATTTTATATTTTCATAAAACTCATATCTATTTTTAAAAAATCACACTGAAATTTTTTCTAAATTTCTGCTTGAACAAAGATTAATTTTAGATCCTGTGCTTCGTAGGTTCAGATATGTCTTGTGCATTAACAATTATACGAAGTTATTGCGTGGAGCGTGCAATAGTAGTTGGATTTATAGTGAGATTACTCGGCTCAGTGGTGAGATTACTGGCTGGAGTACGTCAACGGAAATGGGAGATTAATAAGTGACAGATGATCGCGCGTGTGACGAAACTAATACCTTCCAACCATAAATTCCTCGCGCTTTAAGAGAACTTATGATCGCGTGTGAGGGAACTTGATTGCCGTCGAGAATTATCGTTCGCGTTTCGTTCTGGCATTTGCAGAATAAAGCAGCCTTTGGGGAGCAAAGGACCTTCGCCCGTTCACACGAGTGCACCTGTCCGGTCTGGAATCCAGTCGCCGAAGCCTACGATCAATGGATCGGATCCAGTCGCGTAAGTTCTCGAGTCGCATCGCGCACGAGTCCCCGATAGTCCCACTGCGAGAGACACGCGAAAATTTATGGCTCTCTCAGAGGCATTGCGTCATTTAATATCGGTTGAATTTCGCATCAGAATGACTCTCTTCCCGGTCCCTTAACCTGTAGATTTTTCCATTGAAATTTGCAATTTTTTAAAACAGAAAATTTATGCATAGACGTAATCGACATGTTCCGAAAAGTTTTCAAGTTTGCTCCTGGCCACTGTAGTGACCAGTTCGGCCCTCTAAACACTCTTCCCTCGTTTCTCCAGAGATATTCTTTAATTGACGAACGTTATTAATTCTCACACGTGCTCTTTCATTATCATACACACATACGGTTTTATGTTTTCGTTATTTGCGTACATTTTTATCTTTTCCAAAAAGCTCGCGATCTCTGTTCTCACAACATGACGCACTGTTTAAGTTGGTCGTGCATCTTGCTGTTTGCAGAAGGCAAAACTCGGTGCTGAGTGGCATTTACGATTCAAAGGTGTCGGAGGAACATTACGACGTCATCAAGGTAAGTCAATTTTTAAACGTCATATCATGCTGTCTTATCTTACATCCACGAATCTCCGGCTGCTTTCCTTTCCAAGATCACAATGTTACACTCGCGCGCAGCGCGTCACTTAAATACGATAGCTTGTCATTCGATTATCGCATAACGAGCGTAAATGACGAGCATCGACCACTCCAAATCATACGGTCATTTTATTACCGCGTCTGCGGGACGTGTCCCGTCGTTAAAAAAAAAGTATTGCACTCGCCACCACGCAGCACAGCCCGCGCAACGTACTTTCTATCCGTCTTTCCGTATTTTCTATAGGCTTCGACGTAAAAGCTGTAACACATTTATGGTGTCGTCTGTAATTCGCCGGAGAAAACCGGCCTTCCCACATTTTCCGCGAATCGATCGAGACAGCGAGCACGTAAAATTGATCCGTATCTCTCTCCAGATCGCTTCCGGTGTAATTTAGAGATTTTAAGATCGTTACCGTGCCATTTTTACGCCAAGCGAGAACGTAATGTTCAATATGGGAGACAAACGCGCCGATAAAGCCAACGGGATGTACGCCATATAACCTGCGGGAAACTGCCCAACGTGCATAACCCAATTTTGCATAATATATTGAAATTGCTAGAAATAGGCGTATCACGTTTCATAAATCTGATTAAGCACACATTACATCGAAAAAAACATAGGTACTTCGTACATTAGATACGCCAGAAAATAGAAATTTAAATTTACGATTTAGTATCCTTCCAGTAAATTATATGTTCTCGTGGCTGCGCGTTATTAATATGTTATTTTCGTTTCGCAATTTGCACGGTTGTGTCGTTACAAAACTTACATAAGAGACGTATATAAGTCTTTTATCTTCGCCGATTGACTCTCTATGTTTTTTGGTCTAATTCTCTTCGTTATTGATTAGTCCTGGCTCTTAAGAAATTGTCAATTAAACGCCGCAATTGTCTCAATTGCCAATTAACTATGGGATAATCTTCCGTGTGCCCTTTCGCTTGACTCGATAGATCTTACTGTGTTCATACCTTGTACACTGTTCATCTGCTCATTTTTTGGAAACGTTCTTTTATATCGGACACACACCGATGGCTTCTTTCAATTACTTAAATTACTACATAGTTAACAATTAAATACGTATTTGCGCAGTTTTTTTAATTGATTGAAAATCGGCACAATGTCTCTTCTGAGGTTCTAACATTATAGTTTATTGCGTGAAATTTTCTTTTTATAAAAATGTAGAGATTTACGGCATTCGTGACCAATGTTCACATGCAATACGAAATTGCGCGTTTCCGCGCCGGATAATACAACAATAGCGGTCGGCGCGGTAGCCGAAAATTTGCATGTCAATTCTGTCCTCGACGGTGGAAATGTTGTAGGCGCTGAAAAGAATCGAACAGCGGCTCGTTTACCACGAATAGAAGCGACAAGTGAGCAGGTGATACCAGTGTATCTGCGAAATTGGGCTGTCTGGTTACGCGAATTTCATTACGTATCGTCTGAAGGCAATAACTGTTAAATAACGACGATCTAATCTCCATTTATCATGTTCTGTTATATTTCGCATTTCGTGTCGGTTTAATCCTGAAAACGCACCAATATACAGAGCATGACTCTGAAGAATTCATACGAAAGATTTAGAAATTATTTATTCCTATAATAATTGTAAACTTTCAACAAAAAAACTATTTCTCTCTTCTCGAACTAAAATAACAGAATATGTAAACGAGCACGTCATAAATTAATTTGGTTCGAATTGGTATATTTTTATTTTTATTGCGTCAACGTAAAAAAAAGATGCTGCGAACAAAACGGTATCAAACGATAAGAATCGAAATGCTTATTGCCGTACAAAAAAGATCGCTGCTCCGGATTCAGTGGCCTCGTTATTGACGCGATTGCATTGTGCAATGCAATAATTTCGCGGAAATGCCGTGACGTCAGCTAGGCGTGGGTAATCGCAGTAAACGCATTTTACAGATATAATCATCGATTTCCTAAACTTCAAAGTCGATTCCCGCTTTTATGCGTGTTTATCGATTTTACCGTTTACGAGTCCTTGGACTGCTCGTTTCTCGCTTAAGCTGGAAACACACGAAGAAACTTAAATAGTAAGACTAAGGCTTCAGAATTTCAACCAATCGGAAATTTCAGCATTGCTTAAGTTTTTCGTGTGTTCGGGCTTTGACGCCGAGAGGACGAAAGGGCTCGGAGCAGTTTATACGCGTACCTTCCTCTCTTTTATTCGCGACGCATCGTCGTCGGCGAACAACGGCGCGAGAAACTGTCGGAGCAGCGCGGAAACGGCGCGACAACTACGACTGAAGATTGAAATGTCGTGCTTCCGCGTAAGTGTGCCGGCGGTGTACCGACTCCCCGGTTTCACCCGTTTGTCTTTATACGATTTAACGAATTGCGGATCGGCTATGAAAGTTCATGTTGACATGCCTCGTGAATATCCATCCGCGTTCTACATTCGCGATCGTACGCGTTTAAAGCCTGCTTGTCATAAATACGATGACAGCGGTACGTTTGATTCTCGTGTTAATAAAATCAACAGCTGCGAGAGAGCAGTTTCTCTTGGTGGAAATTTAACGACGAGATTATCTTTACTTATTATCAATTGTGAAACACTTAGCGTCAAATTTCTATAATTCTCCATCTAACTTATTTTAATAAATTTCGATAATTAATTTAATTATGGAATTTATTACATTGGGATTATTCTAATATATCGTCAGACGCTAATAACGAAATGAGCTTCTAAGCGACTAATGTTCCGCGATCGAGCCGCAAGCGAGAGAATTCGACGAGATCCTCGTACGCCTACACTCGAAATTCTAATGTCCATTCTCGTTCGACATTATGCCGTGCTGCGACGCAGCTGCAGAATGTAAATTACATCGCGCGTAAATTACAGAGCGCCGATATTATCGTCTCGCTGCCGCGCACAATTGGAGGAAGCGTCGCGTTATTGACAGAAACGGTGCTGTCGCGTGGGTGCCCTTCCGAGATTTTTCGACGCATTACGCGCTACCGTCATCCTGGCAGTTACGTAGACGCCGCTCCATGGTCGCCGGGCAGATGCAATCGCGGTGGGGGGTCCGAATCGAGCTGACCTAGACGAGCTGGTCCAATCAAAGCTCTTTCAAAACGGATTTGGCAAATACACTGACAGACGTAATAATTGTGGTAATGTCTCACGGTCGTGGTGCAACGCGACACCAAGTATCGCGAGCGTGTTGCTTTTTTCAAGAGGGAGTATACCCTTTCCAGCACGCGGAACGAAGTTGTAGTTTATCTTCGATCGTCAAGGTGAACCGGAATAGGCCACCGCTTCTTCGTGTAGGTGTAGGTGTCAAAGAGAAGCCGGGTAACTCGATAACCCGCGGCGGAATACATGCGCGCGCGTTTCCTTCTGACAATACGTGACTTGTAACCGACTGACAGTCGCGATAAAATTTTATGATCGTGGCGCTACTTGGCGATGATTCTGCTCTCGAAGGTCCGCGCCACGGATCGTGTCATCTTGATATTTAACAACGTGCTCCGAGAAAATTAAGTTCCGGCATTAAACAAACGTGCGTGCATACTTATATTTTAATTATAAATTATATTTACTCTATTCAGCAATGAGATATTTATAGGAATTTTACTTTTAATAAAGGGATACTCTAATTACTGATGCTAATCATTTACTTCGTATCGCGAACGGTCATTATACGTTTTAACAATCTATACGCTGAATGGATTAATAATGCATAAATTTGTAATTAAAGTATTTAAAGACACTTTTGTATATTAGGAAGATTTTGTCTTTGCGATATATGTGGCACGTAAATGCACTTGCAATCTGTGTTGTCTCTATGGAGTGTAACGCAATTGCGGCTCCATCTCGTTGGCTGCACGAAAGAACGTTTCCGATCACCAGATACCATGCTCGCGAATCCTTCTCCGCCTTTCCGTTAATCAGGAGTAGATGGCGCTAACTAATTACAGTTGCCGATAAAAAAAACGCTTTGGTATGAGCGTATTAATTATCGCGATGTTTAACGACGTCCTTATATAAAATAATTTTTCGTGTTCCCATTTTACTCAGTGAAAGTATAATGCTATTACGGATGTATATCTCGTGGCGATTCAGTTATATAAAGAAGAGAACGCAAATGATGATTATTAAAAGGAAATTAGCAAATGCGAAAAGAAATTTTATGTATTGTCCGAAGTTAATTTTGTTATTCATTTTACTTTCATGTACGATTCTTCGCCGAACTCGGATCATGTTTTATAATTTTAGTTTAATCTATTTATGTTTATTTATTTTTCAAATTGTAATAATGAATTTCAATTTATATAATATTCTTTTTACGAGGAAAGATAATATTCATATTGCGGTTTGGTTTACATAAGCTGAGAACACTTGCCAGTCTAGTTGACAACAATTTGCAATGCAAATGTATTTTCGTGCGCATCGAGATGATACAACAACAAAATCTCGTCGAGGACGATATTTAAACAGTTTTGCGTTTTATCTCAAAATTAAAAAATGATAATGTGGCGTTCATTCAGCCGTGTGTGAATTTTATGTCGAGTATAATTTATCTTTAACGTTTGATTAATTACGATATAATTGGGCACGAAGATAAATGTCGACGTTCAACATAATTGTGTTACGTTTAACATAAATTTATTCCTTCTTTTTTTCCGATTCCATTTATCTTGTTTTTCCTACTTTTTATCCACCTGGCCTCGCCCCGAAGATTACTTAAACATTTCGAAAAGAATCGCTCTATAATCACCTGTTCTCCAATCAATATTGATCGATCGGCGGATTGACGTAATCAGTTGTTATGAAGATTCTGGAACACACAACGCTTCGTATATATCTAAAAATATTTCCACAATTTATCGTGTGGCATTCATGATGGAGAGAAGATACGTTTGACAAAATGATCCCTTTAAAACTTTTTCGATTTATCGCGCCTGTCACGAAG